TTAATTTAGACGTTAGTCAGGTGTAACCGAAGTGTAAATTATTGATTATACAGTGAATGGTAAAAGAGAGACAGAGTCAAAAATAAAATTAAATAAATAATAATAATTTGTAACCTCAAGTTTATGGAAAAAAAATAATTATTATTCATATTCAGGCTAAAAATATCTTGGCTAAGACAAACAATGTTAAAATAGTCAGGGTTAACTGGCCACTGGTGCACGTGGCAGAGGCCTAGATTTTTACGGGCTAGAGCGTTTACCACACTCCACACACACACACACACACACACATATGCATACACACACAAATAAACACAAACTACAGGAAAACTAAAACATGCAAATATGTGAAGGAGGAGCAAAAAAAAAAAAAAAAAACACACAGTCAGAAGAAAAATAAAAGTAAAAGAGGCGGGGTGAAAAAGGTGTCCTCCCAGGCAGACACTGATCAATACAAAACATCCAAAAGAAGCACAATTAAACAGCAACATAAAACATACTTAATAAAAGGTCACCCAGCAGGACGAGAGCATCATGCACACAGCAAGAGCAGGTGGTTCACAGGGGAGGAGGACACCTCACCTCCAGCTTCACCTACAGAGTTTAAGTACTAGAGACATCCTGGAAGAGTGATGCACCAGGAGGTCACATGCGCCTCGCAGGGACAACTGCAATCAGTCAAATAAGCATTTATAAATGAAAAATAAAATACTCAAATTTACTGTGCATTTATTGGAGTTTGGAAAGTTTTTGTTTCAAGATCAAACAGTGACAGTCAACGCACGTTCAATGCAACAGAGTACTGTAGCGCAGAGTACTGTAGTACAGAGTACTGTAGTGCAGAGTACTGTAGTACAGAGTACTGTAGTGCAGAGTAGTAGTAGAGTATTGTAGTGCAGAGTATGTAGTGCAGAGTACTGTAGTGCAGAGTACAGAGTACTGTAGTTGCAGTAGTACAGAGTACTGTAGTGCAGAGTACTGTAGTGCAGTTAAGGACAGTTAAATGACTGGTGTTAAAGTACAAACAGTTGACAGAGAGCAGAGTTTGTCCAAGATCAGTAAACGACTGAAGAAAGTGTGGTGTTTTAAAAAAATATAAAATCTGCGTCGTCAGGGTCATATAATTCTGTTAAACAGCTGACCCGACCCCGGCCCCCATCACAGTCAGGAGCCATAATGTGGCCCCCAGAGAAAAAAGTTTGGTGACCCCTGAGCTATACCATGAAAATGAGTTTTGGACTGTATGATGAGAGAGAGAGCATTTCATAGTAAAAAGTAAAAAGACACCAGTGTAAAATGGAATGGTTAGAAGACTTTATATGTTAACAGAATATTTACACAGCACAAATATTAAAACTACAGATGATGTTCTCAAGATGTATGAAGGTGGTATTATAATACACCAATGAATATGTCCGCCATCAAACTCGTCCAGGATCCAGGGCTTTGTCCTTTGGGTCGACCAGTTTCTGTCTTAAAGTGTTTGTAGGTTTGAAATAGTCTGGGATCTCATGTTGCCTGAAAATCCTCTGTAGTTTTTCAGAAACACCTGCCATGTAACACCCTTCCCCTCGGTTGATGATTATCTGATTATCTTTTGTCCCATTTTTTAGTTCTCTTTTTTCTATAGTATAATGGTCTTTGTTTAAGTTCTTTTTGTTCTATAGTGTAATGATCTTCTTTGTTTAAGTTCTGTTTGTTCTGTAGTTTAGTGGTCGTGTTGGTTTCTCCAATACAACACTCCTCCCAGTTTAAGTGTCTTGGGAGTCCATTGTGTCTAAAAATCTTTTGTAATTTTCAGACAGGCCAGACACATGAGACAGAAACCCCTTGCTCTTGGTTCTTTCTGATAGAGGTCGAAACATCTTGATTTGTAAAACATTGTCCAGGGGCCTCATTTTTAAATCGCGACACACCCAAATCCTTGCGTAGGCGCTCTTTACGCCAACCGCAGGATTTATGAAACTCATCCTAAGCGCAGCTCTTTGCTTATTTCTACGGCAGCTCGGGACCTCCTGTAAGCTCTACACAAAGTCTGGAGACACTGGGAAAAAGCGACACTTGTGGAGAGAAGCAGAGGTGAACAGAGTTTGAGGAAGAGATTGATCAGGAATTCATCAGAAAATCCATGTATATAAAAGAATGACCTTCAGATTTGTGCATTTAAGTGTTTGTTCGCCAAAACATGGAGAAGGGCTGTTTATTCCACTCATTATTCTCCACAATATTATACATTTGAAACTTGTGCATGAGCGCAGCAAGATTCCCGGTGCAGAGCAGAGTCTCCCACAGTCTGTGGCTGTGACCCAACACAGAGAGGAAAGAGAAAACTCTTCCCATGGACGCAGCAGGAGCCAGGCTTTTGGTTTAATGAATGCAACTTTAACACTTTTACTTTTTTCTTTACGCACCGAGTGCCAGAGTGGCCCGAGTCACGTGACACGAAGCCTACTGTCTGAACCTGACCCGAATCCTACATTTTTGTGTATTGGGGAACTCTTGAAAAGGAGAGCTGCTCTTGCCCGTCCCGACCCAGACCCACACTCACAGAGGTCAGATCCAGACCCACACTCACAGAGGTCAGACCCACACTCACAGAGGTCAGATCCAGACCCACACTCACAGAGGTCAGACCCACACTCACAGAGGTCAGACCCACACTCACAGAGGTCAGACCCACACTCACAGAGGTCAGACCCAGATCCGCACTCACAGAGGTGAGCAGAGTTTGGATGTTTGGTGTGGACTTTTATTGTCAGAATAACAGTGCCTGACATGTGTCTGATGTGTTTCTTGCTAAATCTGTGTCCTTGCATCCTCGTATCCTTCCCTCGCTCCTTTCACTCTCCAGAGGAGGGCATCTGAATCTCTTGCATGTGCTCATAATTTTACCATTCAGATCAGAGCGTGCAGTATCTACATGTATAAATGTGCATAAACAGTGCCAGTCGCCACACCCACACATATGCAGACTTAAAAATATAGTGATAAACTCTTGAAACAGCAAGAAAACACAGGGGCTTTACTGCAAAGATGTGCTGCCTAAATATGATGAAATATTATTAAATGAACAAATAAGTAATTGTTGTCACTTTTAGTTTTGTGTTTATTTGTTAAACCTTGGTTAAGTCTTTGTCGTGATCACGTGGTGCTGCGTGGAGCGTCCTCTTCCCTCTGTCCCGCGTGTCTCGGTCAAACCCACTGATTATCGGCTCATGTTTTGGGAAATCTCATTCACCAGTCACGTTACATGCTCCTTTTATGGTGAGGTGGAGGTGTGAGGGGGCGTGGTCTGTCCTTTTATGGTGAGGTGGAGGTGTGAGGGGGCGTGGTCTGTCCTTTTATGGTGAGGTGGAGGTGTGAGGGGCGTGGTCTGTTCTTTGGTGAGGTGGAGGTGTGAGGGGGCGTGGTCTGTCCTTTTATGGTGAGGTGGAGTTGTGAGGGGGCGTGGTCTGTTCTTTTATGGTGAGGTGGAGGTGTGAGGGGGCGTGGTCTGTTCTTTTATGGTGAGGTGGAGGTGTGGAGAGGGCGTGGTCTGTCCTTTTATGGTGAGGTGGAGGTGTGAGGGGGCGTGGTCTGTCCTTTTATGGTGAGGTGGAGGTGTGGAGAGGGCGTGGTCTGTCCTGTTATGGTGAGGTGGAGGTGTGAGGGGGCGTGGTCTGTTCTTTTATGGTGAGGTGGAGGTGTGGAGAGGGCGTGGTCTGTTCTTTTATGGTGAGGTGGAGGTGTGAGGGGGCGTGGTCTGTTCTTTTATGGTGAGGTGGAGGTGTGGAGAGGGCGTGGTCTGTTCTTTTATGGTGAGGTGGAGGTGTGAGGGGGCGTGGTCTGTTCTTTTATGGTGAGGTGGAGGTGTGAGGGGGCGTGGTCTGTTCTTTTATGGTGAGGTGGAGGTGTGGAGAGGGCGTGGTCTGTTCTTTTATGGTGAGGTGGAGGTGTGAGGGGGCGTGGTCTGTTCTTTTATGGTGAGGTGGAGGTGTGAGGGGGCGTGGTCTGTTCTTTTATGGTGAGGTGGAGGTGTGAGGGGGCGTGGTCTGTTCTTTTATGGTGAGGTGGAGGTGTGGAGAGGGCGTGGTCTGTTCTTTTATGGTGAGGTGGAGGTGTGAGGGGGCGTGGTCTGTTCTTTATGGTGAGGTGGAGGTGTGAGGGGGCGTGGTCTGTTCTTTTATGGTGAGGTGGAGGTGTGAGGGGGCGTGGTCTGTTCTTTTATGGTGAGGTGGAGGTGTGAGGGGCGTGACGTGACGTGGGTTTACGTGCTTAGATTCTAGCTGCAGGTAGGATCTATAAAGCAGATTGTGTGGTTCAGTGCAGCGGTGACTTTTCTAGATTTGGAGTTTGCCTTTTCTACCAATATTTATTTGTGTGATGTGACATTTCCAATTTAATATTACTAAAAAGAGTTTTTGAATCTTTTTTTTTTATATATATATATACACAGTGTCACAGACCAATAATTTTGGTAATTCTTGTTGAAATAACCTCAAATTTTCACTAAATGTATAAAAACGAATCAAGATTTTATATTTAATGTTTTATTTTTGTTGTGTTTTCAGGTTGAGCCGTTCACTCCCAAAGAGAAGTCTTTTTGCATCTTTGAATCTGCTGCACACACTCACTCAAGACCGTGCAGCTTCAATGTACCATTTGGAAAAACTTCATCAACTGGCAAATAAATTTGGACTTGATCCCAAAAATGTGCAGAGTTTGGCTGATTATGCAGGGCTAAAGGATCTGGTACCAACATTAAAAGAGGCGAGAACGGGAGTGAACAGCTCAACCTGAAAACAAAAATAAAATATTCAATATAAAATTTTGATCTGTTTCGATACATTCTTTGAAAATCTGAGGTTATTTCAACAAGAACTGCCAACATTATCGGCATTATTTTTTTGAGACCCCATAAGTTGTAATGATAGTTCGGTCACAACTAACAGGCATCAACAAAAATGAACAAGAAACAATGTGAGCAGTGGGCGGGGCTAAACTCTGATGTCATTCTGCAGGACTCTGGACTGAGCATGGATCAGAGAGAGCACAGAGAGGACGCAGACCCTCTGACCACCAGCAGGGCGGCGCTGGAAGCATCTATTAGAAGACTGAGCAATTTTACAAAGTCTGGTCCACGGTAAGTCTGAGCCAGTGATTCAGTCTGATTGTTTCGTGTTACATGAACAAAGGAAATCTGACAACCAAAAACACCAGGAGCATATTTGTCATTTTAGTGTGGATGAACTGCTTTTAGTCTTCAGTGGTTTTTGTCATTGCTACATTGTGTTGTTGTTTTTTTTTTTTGTTTTGTTTTTCTCCTTAACACATGTACAGGTATAAAAATCTGCAAGAAATTATATCACAGATTTTATTATTTTAAGTTCATTTCAATTATCTGACAGTTCCAGAAATCAAATTATACCATATTATTCACTCCGGAGTAGAAATCGCACCAACCAAAACATGTGTAATGAAGAAGAAAAAAACATATAAGTCACAATTTTTGGGAGATATTTAGTTTTAAAATCAGAGACCAAGAACTGACCTTTCTGAACTTTGTGATCAAAGTTTTATTCAAGTGTTACCATTCAAGTGTAAGGTCTATGCCAGGGCACTGGAGAGGAGAATCCGGCCGATAGTCGAACCTCGGATTCAGGAGGAGCAGTGTGGTTTTCATCCTGGTCGTGGAACACTGGACCAGCTCTACACTCTCCATCGAGTGGTCAAGGGTTCATGGGAGTTTGCCCAACCAGTCCACATGTGTTTTGTGGACTTGGAGAAGGCATTCGACCGTGTCCCTCGTGGTGTCCTGTGGGGGGTGCTCTGGGAGTATGGGGTCCGGGGTCCTTTGCTAAGGGCTGTCCGGCCCCTGTATGACCGGAGCAGGAGCTGTGTTCATTGCCGGCAGTAAGTCAGACCTGTTCCCGGTGCATGTTGGACTCCGCCAGGGCTGCCCTTTATCACCGGTTCTGTTCATTGTATTTATGGTCAGAATTAGGGGTGATCCTCAAGTGGAGGAGTTCAAGTATCTCGGGGTCTTGTTCACGAGTGAGGGGAGGATGGAACGTGAGATTGACAGGCAGATTGGTGCAGTGTCTGCGGTGATGCGGTCACTGTATCAAACTGTTGTGTGATTTACTGGTCAGTCTTTGTTCCTGTCCTCATCTCTGGGTAATGCCAAAAAGGACGAGATCACGAATCCAAGCGCTCAAAATGAGTTTCCTCCGCACGGTGGCTCATGAGCACTTTGTAGAAGCTCCTGAACTAACTGACCTGACTCATAACTGTCCCATGTGTTTTATTGTGACTGAAGTGTGTTTTCTTCTGTGTCTCAGGATTCAGCAGAAACATCCTCCGTCTGAACCTGGTCCCAGCTGTGAGTCCTTCAAGAGTGACCATTCTATGAGACCTCCCATTGTTTTGCAATAGAGCCGTGAGTTTCCACAATTGTTGAATTAAACAATAGAACTGAAATGAGAGTTTAATGTGTCTCTTTCACAGAGTGGAGCAGACAGATCTAGAGGTCTCCAGTGGTCAGCACCATCAGACACAGCTGGACTCCATATTTAAGGTCTGTCATTCATTAAAGTTTAGAAATGTTTCACACAGATCTGACACTGTATTTGTGTTGTTTATAATGTGTCTGTTCAGCTTCTGGAGGAGGACATCTTCACTTTTGTCCAGAAAGAGCTGAAGAAGCTCCACAAGGTTCTGAGTGCAGATTACCCAGAATGTTTAGAGCCTGTGGAGGATGAGGATGAAGAGCAGAAGAGCAGCAGTGAGGCTGTTCTCAAGATCACACTGAACTTCCTGAGGAGGATGAAGCAGAAGGAGCTGGCTGAGCGTCTGTGGAGCAGTAGGACCATTTAACACATTTAACAAGGTGCTCACAGTCATTTTATCTTCTCTGAGACTCAGGTCTGTATCTGTTGTCTTCATTCAGGGAGTTATTCTGGAGTTTATCGGCGTAAACTGAAGTCTAACCTGCAGCAGAAGTTTGAGTGTGTGTTTGAGGGCATTGCTAAAGCAGGAAACCCCACCCTTCTGAATCAGATCTACACAGAGCTCTACATCACAGAGGGAGGGTCTTCAGAGGTCAACCAGGAACATGAGGTCAGACACATGGAAACAGCCTCCAGGAAACCAGGCCCAGCAGAGACAACCATCACATGTGAAGACATGTTTAAAGGCCCAGCTCACACACATGGAGCCACCAGAACAGTGCTGACAAAGGGAGTGGCTGGCATCGGGAAAACAGTGCTCACTCAGAAGTTCACTCTGGACTGGGCTGAAGGCAAAGCCAACCAGGACATACAGCTGCTGTTCCCGTTCACTTTCAGAGCACTCAATGTGCTGAAGGAGAGAAGCTTCAGCTTGGTGACACTTGTTCATCACTTCTTTAGTCAAACACAAGCAGAACTCTGCAGCTTTGAAGACCTCCAGGTGCTCTTCATCTTTGACGGTCTGGACGAGTGCAGACTTCCTCTGGACTTCAACAAAAGCAAGGCCCTGACCGACCCCACAGAGTCCGCCTCAGTGCACGTGCTGCTGGTGAACCTCATCAGGGGGAGCCTGCTTCCCTCCGCTCGCCTCTGGATAACCACACGACCCGCGGCGGCCAATCAGATCCCTGCTAAGTGCGTCTCCATGGTGACAGAGGTCAGAGGGTTCACCGACCCACAGAAGGAGCAGTACTTCAGGAAGAGGTTCAGAGATGAGGCCACAGTCGTCATCTCCCACATCAAGACGTCCAGAAGCCTCCACATCATGTGCCACCTGCCGATCTTCTGCTGGATCGCTGCCGCAGTCCTGGAGCATCTGTTGAAAAGCAGAGACAGAGGAGAGCTGCCCAAGACCCTGACTCAGATGTACATCCACTTCCTGGTGGTTCAGACCAAAGCCAAGAACATCAAATATGAAGGAGCATCTGAGACAGACCCACACTGGAGTCCAGAGACCAAGAAGATGGTGGAGTCTCTGGGGAAACTGGCCTTTGAGCAGCTGCAGAAAGGAAACCTGATCTTCTACGAGAGTGACCTGAGCGAGTGTGGGCTGGACGCTGCAGCGGCCTCAGTGTACTCCGGAGTGTTCACACAGGTCTTTAGAGAGGAGCCAGGCCTGTACCAGGACAAGGTCTACTGCTTCATCCATCTGAGTGTTCAGGAGTTTCTGGCTGCTCTTCACGTCCATCAGACCTTCATCAACACTGGGATCAACCTGCTCTCAGAGAAAACACATAAGTCTACAAGGTTCAGTGTAAAAAGAAAACTAAAGCATCTTCACCAGACAGCTGTGGATGAGGCCTTACAGAGTCCAAATGGACACCTGGACCTGCTCCTCCGCTTCCTCCTGGGACTTTCACTGTCAACAAATCAGAGCCTTCTACAAGGTCTGCTGACACAGACAGGAAGTAGCTCCCAGACCCATCAGAAAACAGCTGAATACATCAAGAAGAAGCTGAGTGAGGATGTGTCTGCAGAGAGGAGCATCAACCTGCTCCACTGTCTGAATGAACTGAATGATCGTTCTCTGGTGGAGCAGATCCAACAGTACCTGAGCTCAGGACATCTGTCTGAAGGTGGACTGTCTCCTGCTCAGTGGTCAGCTCTGGCCTTTATCTTACTGTCATCAGAAGAAGATCTGGAGAAGTTTGAGCTGAAGAAATACTCTGCTTCAGAGGAGGCTCTCCTGAAGCTAATGCCAGTGGTCAAGGCCTCCAACAAAGCCCTGTGAGTAACCTTTGTTTAACAGAGGATGGTTTGATTCAATTTCAATGGAAACAATGTTTTCTGTCTCCAGACTGAGCAGCTGTAACCTGTCAGAGAGAAGCTGTGAAGCTCTGTCCTCAGTCCTCAGCTCCCAGTCCTCTAGTCTGACAGTCCTTGACCTCAGTGACAACGACTTGAAGGACTCAGGGTTGAAGATGTTGTGTTTTGAACTGAAGAGTCCTCACTGTAAACTGGAACAACTCGGGTCAGAGTGGTTAATATTTTTCACTATTGTTACATAACCTGTTTGATTTTGCATTGGAGATTTATATTTGATAAAAAATTAATGTCTGAATGGTTGAATGTTTCTAATGAATTGACTGATTCCAAATAATCTGTGTCCTCAGACTGTCAGGTTGTCTGCTCTCAGAGGAAGGCTGTGCTTCTCTGGCCTCAGCTCTGAGGTCCAACCCCTCCCATCTGAGAGAACTTTACCTGAGCTACAACCATCCAGGAGAAACAGGAGTAAAGCTCCTGTGTGCTCTACAGGAGGACCCCCACTGCACACTGGACACGCTCAGGTATGGACCACTTTATTATAAAAAGAACATACTTAATGAATAATATGTTCATTCTTTGTTTTTATTCTACATTATTATAATATAATATTCACTTCCTAAATCCAAATGATGCAGACTTTTAATCAGTGCTTGATTGCATGTTTTTTTGTTAGTTGAAAGACAGACTAGCTTCATATAAGGAATATCAGAATAGATGGAGCAGAGTAATCCTTCATTTACACCAACTCTGCTGCGTGAAACGTGCATCTGCCGCATGACAGTTTCATGCATTCCAGTGTACACTGAGTGTGTGTCAGGGATGTGTCTGGTTATTCTAAAAACCTTTCTTTTAATGCACTCAAGCTGTAAATATGCTGTATAAAACATTTAACAACATGATGTAGCCTATCTGTGATGTAGAAGACTCGCCTCAGTCAGGTGTGAGCTGCGCTCTCCTCCTCCGCACATCCTTAACTCCTCTGTCCACTCCTCCGCTCTATCTCCACTCCTCTGGCCGCTCCTCTGCTCATCCTTTGCTCCTACATCTGCTGTTCTTTGTAAATCCACAAACCAACGTTTCACAAACTGCTTTCTCCTCTGCATTCAGCAGGTGCTCCACCGTCGTGCTGTGAAGTCAAAGTAGAAAGTAAAGTCGTGTGCTTGTAGAGGACACCGCCTCCACAAGCACACGGCTGGCTCTGGCTTTTTTAAACATTCCACAGCTTTAATGTATGTGATCAATCCTGAATTATGTTCAGGAGAGACACGAGCAAAACATTTTGGCCAGCTAAGTGGGTCGGTGTTGACATTCATCTCTGTTTTTGGTGCATTAGAAAAGAGAGAATGAAAGGTCCCATATTTACTGATTGATTGATTGATTTTCATCCATCATCCCAAAGGGCTGGGGTCACAGGGCCAAACAACTAAATATTGCACACTCCACTCATTGCACAGTTCCCATCCCCTAGTGAAAATAGACTGTTTTTCTGTCCATAAACGGCTGGTTCAAAATCATTCATATTGCTGCAGCATCCATCAGAATAGACTGCTTGTGTATCGGAGATGTGACACAGCGGTGTGAAACACATTCTAATTGTTATAGGAGACACACGGGCCTTGGACTGGAGACGTGACAGAGCTGGTGTAAATGAGGCGTAAGAAGCTTAGTAGAAGCTTTCCTCTTGTCATCAGAGTTCACCTGGCTCCGCCTAGAGGCTCCTCTGATGCTTCAGGACACAGAGGAGTCTTTTGTCCTGAGGCTGTTACGCTCCTCAATCTGTCCTGACTCTAGATCTGCAGACACCACCTGACCAGACCTCATGTTAAGCTGCACTGAGACTTTTTCTGTCAGCAGTGATATGAACTTTGACCTGTGTCTATAAACTAAAGGGGAGCTCCTAAAACAATAGAAAGCACTAGTGAACATGGAGAACAGAAAAGGCTTCATTAGAAGGTGACATACATGTGGTCTTACACAAATCATTGTCTTAGTTAGTTTAAAACATCACATGTATTGCATATCTTTTTATGCTATGATTTTGATAAGTGGTCATAAAAACATCAAAAGAAGTTTTACAAATGTGACTTTATCACAGCTCAATGTTTCTGTCCGATGTTGTTTGTTTCAGACTGGAGTATGCTGGAGCTGAGAGGTTAGCACCAGGACTCAGAAAGTGTAAGTGTTGACTTAACTCCATTTGAAACAGACACATAGACCCAGTGCATGATGGGAAATGGAGTCTTCACATAAAATATCTATTGTTGTGTGAGAAACCTCTGGCTGTGTGGTCCACAGCTGTGTCCATGACTACATCCAGAATTGTTCTTAAAGCAGATTCTGAAGAGTCCAGTCTGGAGCTGTGGAACTGCACTCATGTTTCAGCTCAAACAAAAGCAGAAGCAGCTGCTGTGAACAAGCTCCTGACACACAGAGACACATGTCTCACCGCCTGTGAGCACCAAGCCCCATCAGAACTATGGCTGTCAAAAGTATCAAAGATCAGATAGTAATCCATAACAAAACTACTGAAACCAGATACTCCCTCAGCAAGTATCAACACTAAAAACATTCAAAGGTCAGAAATGAGTCTTTCCTGAGTGTCTTTAGAATGATCTTGAGAGCACATAGAAGCACAGAGACTATACACACACGGACCACTATGAACCTACCTGGACCATGAGGGATTACACACATATAAGACACACACCATTTACGTTTTGTTGTTGTTGTTGTTCATTATTATTATTATTATTATTATTATTATTATTATTATTATTATTATGTATTTATTTATTTATTTTTA